GATAATAGGCAAAAAATCGGGATCAGAATAAAATTCAAAAATTTTTAAAGAGATTTTCCAAATTACCCCATTCATAATATAATCAATCTACTAACTTTTTGCGATAAGAAATTGTTAAAGAATACTTTTCAAGGACTTGTTAAGAACATTTTGTGAAGGACAATAGGCCAAAAAATCTGTGATTTTTATACCCTAAACCACAAGGTGGTCAGGGTATTATGTCTTTGTGCATTTGTTTGTAACAGGCAAAAGGAAACGAGATAGACCCATAGTTCCTTTTGATGATCTGCATAGAATCACATTCTGAGTCGATTTATGCATGTCCGTCCGTCCATCCGTCTGTCCATGTATTTTTGTGAGCAAAGTACAGTTCACATTTATTACCCGATCCAGATGAAATTTTGCACAAATCATTTGTTTGGCCCAACGACGAACCCTATTGAAATTGGAGATAATCGGTAAAAATTTAGATATAGCTCCCATATATATCTTCGTCCGATTTGCCTTATATTGTACACCAAACGTGTAATATCAGTATCGAATAGTATGGAATTTTGCACATACAACCAAATTAGGCCTGAAAATAAATATGCCAAATTTAATCGAAATCGGTTCAGATATAGCTATAGCTCCCATATATATTGTTCATCCGATGTGTTACATTTGTCCTCCGCTGCCGTAATATGCACTCTGTAACAACAATATTTGGGGAAATATATCAAATGCAGCTCAGAAATACCTTTGCTAAATTTTATCGAAATCCGTTCAGATTTGGATATAGCTCCCATATATAACTTCGTCCGACTTACCTTTTATTGTGCACCAAAAGTCTAATATTTGTTCAACTGGGATGAAATTTGGCACTTACGACCAAATTGGGTCTAGAAACTAGTATGTCAAATTTGGTGAAGATCGGTTCAGATATAGCTATAGCTCCCATATACATTGTTCATCCGATTTGTTGTATTTGTTACCCACAGCCGTAATATGCACTCCATAACAACGATATTCAGGGAAATATATCAAACAGAGCTCAGAAATATATTTGCTAAATTTTATCGAAATCCGTTCAGATTTGGATAAAGCTCCCATATATAACTTCGTCCGACTTACCTTTTATTGTGCACCAAACGTCTAATATTTGTCCAAATGGGATGGAATTTGGCACTTACGACCGAATTGAGTCTAGAAGCTAGTATGTCAAATTTGGTGAAGATCGGTTCAGATATAGCTATAGCTCCCATATATACTGTTCATTCGACTTGTAACCCACAGCCGTAATATGCAGCCCGTAACAACGATATTCAGGGAAATATATGAAATACAGCTCAGAAATATTTTTGCCAAATTTTATCGAGATCGGTTCCGATTCGGATATAGCTCCCATATATATCTTTATCCGATTTCAAATAAATTGTGCACCAAATGGCCAATACAAGTCCGAATATAAAAAATTCAAATGTTTCGGCATATTTTGTCCTTTGAACTTTAAATTATAATTATAATCATAGCGTGTAAGATTGAATTCTTCCATAAAACCTATTAATTGTTATGTGGAGCTCTACTAAATTAGCAAAGTGGTGTAGGGTATCATAAAGTCGGCCCCGACCGACTTTAAGCCTTTTTTTACTGGTATTAGAATTTTTTTAAGAACAAAAATCTGGCAATAAATTTCTTTCCACGAATATTTTAAAATCTCTATCAGTCATATAATCGATTATTTTTTTTAAATATTTTTTCCGGTACCAACCACAAAAAATCTGTATATTTATTATATATAAGTAAAAAAAAAATAAAAATTTCAAGAATTTTTTTTTTATTATTTTAAAGAACTTTTTCAAGGACTCTCAGCTTAAATTTCTAAAATTTAAAAAAAAAAGTTTCGATCCACCATCATTTTTTGGGGACTAGAAATTTTTAGAGAGTAGTTTTCAAGGACCTTCAGTCAAACTATATAGGATTTGCTGTTAGGAATTATTTGCCATTTTCTAGAATTTTCAAAGTATTTCCTGCAAGGTCCTTAAACCAAATGGTTAAAAATTTTCCAAGGGAAATACACCAACATTTTTTTTTTTTGATTTTTTGAGGATTGAGGTTTTTTTTAGGAATAATCTGTCTCAAACTTTTAATGGAATCTCTTCTTGAACCACCAGCCAAAAAAATCACTTCATATACATAAAATCTGCTCAATGTTTTTTTTTTTACAAAATAATTTGAAATTTGTTTCTAGTACTGGTTGCCGAGCACAATATTTGAAAAAAAAAAATAGACAGATTGTCTGGAGAAGCTTTTGAATTATCTAATCTCGTTTCATGGCTCCTCTCGAGAATATTATTGTTCATAATATATTTTAATCTTCCTCAATATCGCCGAAATCTTATCAGGGACAAATAGGCATCAAGGAAACATGTGGCTAAGTACCATCCAAATAAATTCAAATTGATTAGCATGACTTGGCACAATGGTAGGGGGGGGGGGGGGGGGGGGTCTTAATAATGGCCAGCATAAATAAAATGAAATTTTAAAAAATTCAAATCCTGCAATAAATCTACCCCTAATTCATAATTCTTGTGTCATAACATAAAATTGCAAAAAAATCTCCAATATTTTGCACATCATTCAATTCCCACGTTTATCGCTTGCAAGCTGCCTGCCATCTTTTTTGACTTCTAGTTTTTTTTATTATTGTTATTATAACTATTTTTATTTTATTTATTTTTTTTCTAAAATCTTTATCAACTGCCACCCATTTCAATTCTCCGCCGCTTATCACCAAAGTGTGTCGTCTCATTAGCAGAATAATTACAAGGCAAAAAATCGCAAAATATCACAACGTTATCAACGAGGAACAATAATTTTTTTTTTTCGAAAATTTTGCCAAATCATTTAGCGTGCGAGTTAAAGACCTCCTCTGAGAACGGTGGCATCTAATAAAACAAATAAATTTACACAAATAAAAATAAAAGCATTTTAAGCGCTGTGACTAGACATTTTCAGAGCTGTTATCATCAAGTCTTTTTGTTGTTTTATTTAAACTCGCCCAGTAAAAACAATAACAATAACCATATAATACGAAGGATGACAAAGTGAAAATCGAATATTTGGTCTGTGTCGGGAGCTACGCGAAGATGGGGAGGTATAGGTGGTTTGTGATACTACAGAGACTAGAGGAAGGGATGCAAGGGGAAAGGGGAGATATTTTGAGCAAAATGAGAGAGAGTGACTGAGAGAGAGATAGAGAAATTAAAGCCAAGTGATCTTCTTCCAAAATATGTCAGATATTTTTCTTTCCTAGGAGACCAAGTATTTTTCTTGGTCTTCTCTGGCAGAAGACCATCTGCTCTTCTATGGCAGAAGACCTCCTGGTCTTCTGTGGAAGAAGGCCTCCTGGTCTTCTCTGGCAGTAGACAACCAGGTCTTCTAGGGCAGAAGACCACCTGGTCTTCTATGGCAGAAGACCACCTGGTCTTCTATGGCAGAAGACCACCTGGTCTTCTATGGCAGAAGACCACCTGGTCTTCTATGGCAGAAGACCACCAGGATTTCTATGGCAGTAGACCACCAGGTCTTCTATGGCAGTAGACCACCAGGTCTTCTAGGGCAGAAAACCACCAGGTCTTCTAGGGCAGAATACCACCTGGTCTTCTAGAGCAGAAGACAACCTGGTCTTCTTTGCCAGAAGACCACCTGGTCTTCTATAGGAGAAGACCACCTGGTCTTCTATGGCAGAAGACCACCTGGTCTTCTATGTCAGAAGACCACCTGGTCTTCTATGTCAGAAGACCACCTGGTCTTCTATGGCAGAAGACCACCTGGTCTTCTCTGGCAGTAGACAACCAGGTCTTCTATGGCAGAAGACCACCTGGTCTTCTATGTCAGAAGACCACCTTGTCTTCTATGGCAGAAGACAACCTGGTGTTCTCTGGCAGTAGACAACCAGGTCTTCTAGGGCAGAATACCACCTGATCTTTTAGGGCAGAATAGCACCTGGTCTTCTAGGGCAGAATACCACCTGATCTTTTAGGGCAGAATACCACCTGGTCTTCTAGGGCAGAATACCACCTGGTCTTCTAGGGCAGAAGACCACCTGGTCTTCTATGGCAGAAGACCACCTGGTCTTCTATGGCAGAAGACCACCAGGTTTTCTATGGCAGTAGACCACCAGGTCTTCTAGGGCAGAAGACCACCTGGTCTTCTATGGCAGAAGACCACCTGGTCTTCTATGGCAGAAGACCACCTGGTCTTCTATGGCAGAAGACCACCAGGTTTTCTATGGCAGTAGACCACCTGCTCTTCTAGGGCAGAAGACCACCTGCTCTTCTAGGGCAGAAGACCACCAGGTCTTCTATGACAGAAGACCACCTGCTCTTCTAGGGCAGAAAACCACCTGCTCTTCTAGGGCAGAAGACCACCTGGTCTTCTAGGGCAGAAAACCACCTGCTCTTCTAGGGCAGAAGACCACCTGCTCTTCTAGGGCAGAAGACCACCAGGTCTTCTATGACAGAAGACCACAAGGTCTTCTATGACAGAAGACCACAAGGTCTTCTATGACAGAAGACCACCTGGTCTTCTATGGCAGAAGACCACCAGGTCTTCTAAGGCAGAAGACCACCAGGTCTTCTATGGCAGAAGACCACCAGGTCTTCTACGGCAGAAGACCACCAGGTCTTCTATGGCCCTGTGGTCTTCTCCCATTGAACATTTTCCCAGATTTCCTCCCAACTGTAGTTGATCCTGAAGTCGCTGCAGTCTACCCCTAAATTTCTCCCTGTAAATGCTACGCATTTACACCTCCAAGGGTGCTTTGTTTTCGTCTAATGGAATTTATTAACAACAACAACAACAAAATTGTTATATTGCACTCGAACGCCACGCTATTATCAAAACATACAAACAATTGAAAATCCAATTGAATTCTCTGATAAGAAGAAGATGCTTACAACAACAAAAACACTCCCTCAAGTGCGGTATATATAATTCAGGATTGCTGGGTAGCTGTTCAGTTAGTCCGGTTGGTTGCATTGCATCAAGGCATCAAGTTACATTATGGAGACATCGGGAGTTTTGATATATCTCATTTTGGTCATTGCCTCGGCTGTGGTTTATTTGCTGAGAAGGAATCTAAGCTATTGGAAGAGGCTGGGTATACCCCATGAGGAACCAACGGCCCTGATGGGCAATATGAATGGGTTGAGGACCCAGCGGTGTATGGGTGACATTTTGGCCGATTATTATAGGAAATTTAAGGGCTGCGGACCCTTTGCCGGCATTTTCAACGGCCAGAGACCCGGGGTGGTGCTGCTGGACAAACAACTAATCAAGCAGGTCTTGATCAAGGATTTCACACAATTCACCGATCGTGGTCTGTATTACAATGAGAAATCGGATCCTTTGACTGGACATCTGTTCTTTTTGGATGGCGATAAATGGCGGAACTTGCGCAACAAGCTCTCTCCCACCTTTACCTCGGGTAAAATGAAATATATGTACCCGACAGTAGTAAATGTGGCCGAGCGTTTTATGGAAGTTTTGGCTCAAAAGGTCCGAGAAAATCCCATTGTGGATGTACGCGATATGCTGGGACGTTTCACCGTGGATGTGATCGCCAGTGTGGCCTTTGGCATTGAATGCAATAGCCTGAGAAATGCTGAGGATAAATTTCTGCAGCTTGGCAGGAAATCTATTGAAGTACAGCGCCATAATGCCCTGATCATGACATTGATTGATGGGTTTCCCCGCCTATCCAGAATGCTGGGCATGCGCACTTTGCCCCAGGATGTCCATGAGTTTTTCATGCAGACCATCCGGGAAACGGTGGAATATCGTGAGAGGAATAAAATCCAAAGAAGTGATTTTCTGAATATTCTGATTGAACTGAAGAATACTGTGGATGATAAGTCAGGGCTGGGAGGTATGGAACTGGAAGAGTTGGCTGCCCAGGTATTTGTTTTCTTTTTGGCTGGTTTTGAAACCTCCTCGTCGACCATGGCCTATGCCTTGTATGAATTGGCCCAAAATCAGCAGATACAGGAGAGATTAAGGGAGGAGATCAATGAGGCATTTGAGGGTGATACAAAACCAAGCTATGAGACCATAATGAATTTGAGTTACCTGGATCAGGTGATATCGGGTGAGTTGTATTCAAAAAACATTTTTTTCAGATGTTAATTCCCCTCCTTTCCCCTCTCCAGAAACTCTACGCAAATACCCCATTTTACCCTTCTTAAATCGCCAGGCCTTAAATGACTATGTGGTGCCTGGACACCCCAAATTTCGAATACCCAAGGGAACACCCATCTTCATACCCGTCATGGGCATACAACATGATCCGGAATTCTATCCCCAACCCGATGAATTTGATCCGGAACGTTTTTCACCAGATATGGTGAAGCAACGTGATTCCATCGAATGGATGCCCTTTGGAGATGGGCCCCGAAACTGTATTGGCGCCCGATTTGCCAAAATGCAAACCCGCCTTGGCTTGGCATGTGTTTTGAAATATTTTCGGGTTGTAGTTTGCTCAAAGACCCCATTGCACTTGACATTTCAGGCAAAGCCTTTGGTGTTGACACCACGGCATGATGTCTACCTGAAATTGGAGGCGATTTAGGGGTGGGAGATTATCTCTCTAAAGTTTAATATAAATCAGGACTGATTTTTTTTTGTTTTATAGTTTTGTAGTTTTAAAATAAATAAATGTATTTAATAAAATTTAAAAAAAGAAATTAAGAGCTAAAATCTCCCCAGGAGGAGACCTTTTTCGCATAGAAAAAAAATCTACCTCAGGAGGAGACTTTTTTTCGTATAAAAAAAATCTACCTCAGGAGGAGGAGACTTTTTTCGTATTGAAAAAAAATCTCGTACAGAAAAAAATCTCCTCATTAGGAGGAGACTTTTTTCGTACAGAAAAAATCTCCTCATTAGGAGGAGACTTTTTTCGTACAGAAAAAAATCTCCTCATTAGGAGGAGACTTTTTTCGTATAGAAAAAAATCTCCTCATTAGGAGGAGACTTTTTTCGTACAGAAAAAAATCTCCTCATTAGGAGGAGACTTTTTTCGTACAAAAAAAAATCTCCTCAGGAGGGGAGACAAAAAAAAAATCTCCTCAGTTGGAGGAGACTTTTCTCCGTATAGAACAAAAAATCTCCTCAGGAGGAGACTTTTTGCGTATAGAAAAAAATCTCCTCAGGAGGGGAGACTTTTTTCGTATAGAAAAAAATCTCCTCAGGAGGAGGAGATTTTTTCGTATAGAAAAAAATCTCGTCAGGAGAAGGAGACTTTTTTCGTACAGAAAAAAATCTCCTCAGGAGGAGGAGACTTTTTTCGTATAGAAAAAAATCTCCTCAGGAGGAGGAGACTTTTTTCGTATAGAAAAAAATCTCCTCAGGAGGAGGAGACTTTTTTCGTATAGAAAAAAATCTCCTCAGGAGGAGGAGACTTTTTTCGTATAGAAAAAAATCTCCTCAGGAGGAGGAGACTTTTTTCGTATAGAAAAAAATCTCCTCAGGAGGAGGAGACTTTTTTCGTATAGAAAAAAATCTCCTCAGGAGGAGGAGACTTTTTTCGTATAGAAAAAAATCTCCTCAGGAGGAGGAGACTTTTTTCGTATAGAAAAAAATCTCCTCAGGAGGAGGAGACTTTTTTCGTATAGAAAAAAATCTCCTCAGGAGGAGGAGACTTTTTTCGTATAGAAAAAATCTCCTCAGGAGGAGGAGACTTTTTTCGTATAGAAAAAAATCTCCTCAGGAGGAGGAGACTTTTTTCGTATAGAAAAAAATCTCCTCAGGAGGAGGAGACTTTTTTCGTATAGAAAAAAATCTCCTCAGGAGGAGGAGACTTTTTTCGTATAGAAAAAAATCTCCTCAGGAGGAGGAGACTTTTTTCGTATAGAAAAAAATCTCCTCAGGAGGAGGAGACTTTTTTCGTATAGAAAAAAATCTCCTCAGGAGGAGGAGACTTTTTTCGTATAGAAAAAAATCTCCTCAGGAGGAGGAGACTTTTTTCGTATAGAAAAAAATCTCCTCAGGAGGAGGAGACTTTTTTCGTATAGAAAAAAATCTCCTCAGGAGGAGGAGACTTTTTTCGTATAGAAAAAAATCTCCTCAGGAGGAGGAGACTTTTTTCGTATAGAAAAAAATCTCCTCAGGAGGAGGAGACTTTTTTCGTATAGAAAAAAAATCTCCTCAGGTGGAGACTTTTTTCGTATAGAAAAAAAATCTCCTCATGTGGAGACTTTTTTCGTATAGAAAAAAAATCTCCTCAGGAGGAGATTTTACGTATAGAAAAAAATCTGCCTCAGGAACTGAGGAGACTTTTGTCGCATAGAAAAAAATCTGCCTCAGGAGCTGAGGAGACTTTTGTCGCATAGAAAAAAATCTGCCACAGGAACTGAGGAGACTTTTTTCGCATAGAAAAAAATCTGCCTCAGGAACTGAGGAGACTTTTTTCGCATAGAAAAAAATCTGCCTCAGGCACTGAGGAGACTTTTTTCCGTATAGAAAAAAATCTGCCTCAGGCACTGAGGAACGTCGCAAAAAAGTCTCAAAAATTTCAATTTTCACTTCTCCAAACTTCAAATTGGCCATAAAAAATGCTCCGTCATTACCCACCAATCAAATCCGCACATGCCACCTATAGCGTTCACCTCTTATTTCTGCCGAATCATTATCAAAGTTCTTGTCATGAATACCAAAATTTCGTCTACTTTATTGCCCTATCATCGCAAAAGCGACGTCGCGTCGCAAAATAATCAGTAATCATGAGTTGACACATGTTATAAAAGCTTCTCGACTTCGGCAAACGAAGTCCAGTCCGCAACAAACCACACCGCGACTAACATGGAATTTACAAGCGTGCTTTTATACCTTCTCACCGCTCTCATTTCGGTGGCGGTGCTATTTTTACGGCGAAATCTGAATTATTGGAAGAAGCGTGGCATCCCTCACGATGCCCCGCACATGTTGTTCGGCAATATGCAGGATTATCGTACCAAACGATCGCTGAGCCAAATTATGGCGGATTATTATATGAAATTCAAGGGTACCGGACCCTTTGCTGGGCTCTATTTGGGACAACGTCCGGTGGCCCTGCTCTTGGATATACCCACCATTAAGAATGTGATGATCAAGGATTTCAATAACTTCACCGATCGTGGCATGTACTATAATGAGAAGGAGGACCCATTGACGGGCCACCTGTTCTTCATCGATAGCCATAAATGGCGTAGCATGAGAAATAAGGTATCGCCGGCCTTTACCTCGGGCAAAATGAAGTTTATGTATCCCACGGTGTTGGAGGTAATATCGGATTTCATGACTGTTCTGGATGAGCATGTCCAAAAGGGCGCAAATGGAGCGGTGGATGTTCGTGATTTGCTGGGCCGCCTGGGCACTGAGATCATTGGACGTGTGGCCTTTGGCATTGAGTGTAACAGTTTGAAAAATACCGAAGATGAATTCGTGCGCCTGGGACGTAAATCCCTTGAGGTCCCGCGCCACAATAGTTTGATCATGGCTTTCATTGATAGTTTCCCCAAGCTGGCCAGGGCCTTGGGCATGCGCATCCTCCCCGAAGATGTCCATCAATTCTTTATGAAAACCATTGTGGATACGGTGAAATATCGTGAGGAGAATAAGATTCAGCGGAATGACTTTTTGAATATTTTAATTGAATTGAAGAACAACAAGGAGGACAAATCGGGTCTGGGTGGTCTGAGCTATGAGGAGTTGGCTGCCCAGGTGTTTGTCTTCTTTTTGGGTGGTTTTGAAACCTCCTCCTCCACGGTGACATTTGCTCTCTTTGAGCTGGCCCAAAATCAGGAAATGCAGGAACGTCTACGCCAGGAGGTCAAAGAGACTTTGAAGAAATGCGATTCCGAACAATTTACCTATGAAAGTCTATCGGAAATGCCCTATCTCAATCAGGTGTTGTGTGGTAAGTGAGAACCCATTGAAAACCTTTTCTAAAACAAAAATAACTTCCTTTTCTCCCCTCCCAGAATCCCTGCGCAAATACCCCGTGGTACCATTTCTAACACGCCAAGCCCTCAAAGACTATGCCATACCCGGCTACCCGAAATACACCATTGAGGCAGGCACAATGGCCTTCATACCCACTCTGGGCATACACAACGATCCCGAACTCTATCCCAATCCAGAGCAATTTGATCCCGAACGTTTCTCCCCCGAAATGACACGCAATCGCGAATCTGTCGAATGGTTGGGTTTTGGTGATGGACCACGCAATTGCATTGGCCTTCGATTTGGTAAACTCCAGTCACGCCTCTCGTTGGCCAATATTGTTAATCGTTATCGTTTCACTTTGAGTTCGAAGACGAAAGTTCCGCTCGAGTTCAAACCCGAAGCACCAACTATGTCTACGGTACATCCGATTTATTTGAATTTTGAAGAGATTTAAGGAGACTGTTTTAGAAAATAAAGAAAAAATTGTTATTCATTTATTTTAAATATGGATTTTTTAAAGAATATTTTTTCCAAAGTCCAACAAAGGCGTGGATTTTTTAAAGAATATTTTTTCCAAAGTCCAACAAAGGCGTGGATTTTTTAAAGAATATTATTTTCCAAGGACCATCAAAGGCGTGGATTTTTTAAAGAATACTTTTTTCAAGGACCACCAAAAGGCGTGGATTTTTTAAATAATATTTTTTCCAAAGTCCAACAAAGGCGTGGATTTTTAAAAGAATATTATTTTCCAAGGACCATCAAAGGCGTGGATTTTTTAAAGAATACTTTTTTCAAGGACCACCAAAGGCGTGGATTTTTTAAAAAATTATTTTTCAACGACCACCAAAGGCGTGGATTTTTTTAAAAATAATTTTTCAAGGACCACCAAAGGCGTGGATTTTTTAAAAAATAATTTTTCAACGACCACCAATGGCGTGGATTTTTTAAAAAATAATTTTTCAAGGACCACCAAAGGCGTGGATTTTTTAAAAAATAATTTTTCAACGAACACCAAAGGCGTGGATTTTAAAAAAAATAATTTTTCAAGGACCACCAATGGCGTGGATTTTTTAAAGAATATTTTTTTCAAGGACCACCAAAGGCGTGGATTTTTTTAAAATTTTTATTTCAAGGACCACCAAAGGCCTGGATTTTTTAAAGAATATTTTTTTCAAGGACCACCAAAGGAGTGGATTTTTTTAAAAATATTTTTTTCAAGGACCACCATAGGCGTGGATTTTTTAAAGAATATTTTTTTCAAGGACCACCAAAGGCCTGGATTTTTTAAAGAATATTTTTTTCAAGGACCAAAGGAGTGGATTTTTTAAAGAATATTTTTTTCAAGGACCACCATAGGCGTGGATTTTTTAAAGAATATTTTTTTCAAGGACCACCAAATTCGTGGATTTTTTTAAGATTTTTTTTTCAAGGACCACCAAAGGTGTGGATTTTTTAAAGAATATTTTTTTCAAGGACCACCAAATTCGTGGATTTTTTTAAGATTTTTTTTTCAAGGACCACCAAAGGCCTGGATTTTTTAAAGAATATTTTTTCAATCAACACCAAAGGCGTGGATTTTTTAAAGAATATTTTTTCAATCAACACCAAAGGCGTGGATTTTTTAAAGAATATTTTTTCAATCAACACCAAAGGCGTGGATTTTTTAAAGAATATTTTTTCAATCAACACCAAAGGCTTGGATTTTTTAAAGAATATTTTTTCCAAACTCCAACAAAGGCTTGGATTTTTTAAAGAATATTTTTTCCAAACTCCAACAAAGGCGTGGATTTTTTAAAGAATATTTTTTTAATCAACACCAAAGGCTTGGATTTTTTAAAGAATATTTTTTCCAAACTCCAACAAAGGCGTGGATTTTTTAAAGAATATTTTTTCCAAACTCCAACAAAGGCGTGGATTTTTTAAAGAATATTTTTTCCAAACTCCAACAAAGGCGTGGATTTTTTAAAGAATATTTTTTCCAAACTCCAACAAAGGCGTGGATTTTTTAAAGAATATTTTTTCCAAACTCCAACAAAGGCGTGGATTTTTTAAAGAATATTTTTTCCAAACTCCAACAAAGGCGTGGATTTTTTAAAGAATATTTTTTCCAAACTCCAACAAAGGCGTGGATTTTTTAAAGAATATTTTTTCCAAACTCCAACAAAGGCGTGGATTTTTTAAAGAATATTTTTTCCAAACTCCAACAAAGGCGTGGATTTTTTAAAGAATATTTTTTCCAAACTCCAACAAAGGCGTGGATTTTTTAAAGAATATTTTTTCCAACTCCAACAAAGGCGTGGATTTTTTAAAGAATATTTTTTCCAAACTCCAACAAAGGCGTGGATTTTTTAAAGAATATTTTTTCCAAACTCCAACAAAGGCGTGGATTTTTTAAAGAATATTTTTCCAAACTCCAACAAAGGCGTGGATTTTTTAAAGAATATTTTTTCCAAAGTCCATTAAAGGCGTGGATTTTTTAAAGAATATTTTTTCCAAACTCCAACAAAGGCGTGGATTTTTTAAAGAATATTTTTTCCAAAGTCCATTAAAGGCGTGGATTTTTTAAAGAATATTTTTTCCAAAGTACATTAAAGGCGTGGATTTTTTAAAGAATATTTTTTCCAAAGTCCATTGAAGGCGTGGATTTTTTAAAGAATATTTTTCCAAAGTCCATTTAAGGCGTGGATTTTTTAAAGAATATTTTTTCCAAACTCCAACAAAGGCGTAGATTTTTTAAAGAATATTTTTTCAAGGACCACCAAAGGCGTGGATTTTTTAAAGAATATTTTTTCAAGGACCAACAAAAGCGTGGATTTTTTAAAGAATATTTTTTCAAGGACCAACAAAAGCGTGGATTTTTTAAAGAATATTTTTTCAAGGACCAACAAAAGCGTGGATTTTTTAAAGAATATTTTTTCAAGGACCAATAAGGCGCGGTTTTTTTAAAGAATATTTTTTCAAGGACCACCAAAGGCGCGGATTTTTTTTAACGAATATTTTTTCAAGGACCAATAAGGCGCGGATTTTTTAAAGAATATTTTTTCCAAAGTCCAACAAAGGCATGGATTTTTTAAAGAATATTTTTTCCAAAGTCCAACAAAGGCATGGATTTTTTAAAGAATATTTTTTCCAAAGTCCAACAAAGGCGTGGATTTTTTAAAGAATATTTTTTCATGGACCACCAATGGCGTGGATTTTTTAAAGAATATTTTTTTCAAGGACCACCAAAGGCGTGGATTTTTTACAGAATATTTTTCAAGGACCACCAAAGGCCTGGATTTTTTAAAGAATATTTTTTTCAAGGACCACCACAAGCGTGGATTTTTTAAAGGATATTTTTTCCAAAGTCCAACAAAGGCGTGGATTTTTTAAAGGATATTTTTTCCAAAGTCCAACAAAGGCGTGGATTTTTTAAAGAATATTTTTTCCAAAGTCCAACAAAGGCGTGGATTTTTTAAAGAATATTTTTTTCAAAGTCCAACAAAGTCGTGGATTTTTTAAAGAATATTTTTTCCAAAGTCCAACAAAGGCGTGGATTTTTTTAAGAATATTTTTTTCCAAAGTCCAACAAAGGCGTGGATTTTTTAAAGAATATTTTTTCCAAAGTCCAACAAAGGCGTGGATTTTTTAAAGAATATTTTTTTCAAAGTCCAACAAAGTCGTGGATTTTTTAAAGAATATTTTTTCCAAAGTCCAACAAAGGCGTGGATTTTTTTAAGTATATTTTTTTCCAAAGTCCAACAAAGGCGTGGATTTTTTAAAGAATATTTTTTCCAAAGTCCAACAAAGGCATGGATTTTTTAAAGAATATTTTTTCCAAAGTCCAACAAAGGCATGGATTTTTTAAAGAATATTTTTTCCAAAAACCAACAAAGGCGTGGATTTTTTACAGAATATTTTTTCAAGGACCACCAAAGGCCTGGATTTTTTAAAGAATATTTTTTTCAAAGACCACCACAGGCGTGGATTTTTTAAAGGATATTTTTTCCAAAGTCCAACAAAGGCGTGGATTTTTTAAAGAATATTTTTTCCAAAGTCCAACAAAGGCGTAGATTTTTTAAAGAATATTTTTTCCAAAGTCCAACAAAGGCGTAGATTTTTTAAAGAATATTTTTTTCAAGGACCACCACAGGCGTGGATTTTTTAAAGGATATTTTTTCCAAAGTCCAACAAAGGCGTGGATTTTTTAAAGAATATTATTTCCAAAGTCCAACAAAGGCGTAGATTTTTTAAGAATATTTTTTTCCAAAGTCCAACAAAGGCGTGGATTTTTTAAGAATATTTTTTTTTCCAAAGTCCAACAAAGGCGTGGATTTTTTAAGAATATTTTTTTTTCCAAAGTCCACCAAAGGCGTGGATTTTTTAAAGAATATTTTTTCCAAAGTCCAACAAAGGCGTGGATTTTTTTAAGAAAATTTTTTTCCAAAGTCCAACAAAGGCGTAGATTTTTTAAGAATTTTTTTTCCAAAGTCCAACAAAGGCGTGGATTTTTTAAGAATATTTTTTTCCAAAGTCCACCAAAGGCGTGGATTTTTTAAAGAATATTTTTTCCAAAGTCCAACAAAGTCGTGGATTTTTTAAAGAATATTTTTTTCAAGGACCACCAAAGGCGTGGATTTTTTAAAGAATATTTTTTTCAAGGACCACCAAAGGCGTGGATTTTTTAAAGAATATTTTTTTCAAGGACCACCAAAGGCGTGGATTTTTTAAAGAATATTTTTTTCAAGGATCACCAAAGGCGTGGATTTTTTAAAGAATATTTTTTCAAGGACCACCAAAGGCGTGGATTTTTTAAAGAATATTTTTTTCAAGGACCACCAAAGGCGTGGATTTTTTTAAGAATATTTTTTTCAAGGACCACCAAAGGCGTGGATTTTTTAAAAAATAAATTTTCAAGGACCACCAAAGGCGTGGATTTTTTAAAGAATATTTTTTTCAAGGACCACCAAAGGCGTGGATTTTTTGAAGAATATTTTTTTCAAGGACCACCAAAGGCGTGGATTTTTTGAAGAATATTTTTTTCAAGGACCACCAAAGGCGTGGATTTTTTAAAGAATATTTTTTCCAAAGTCCAACAAAGGCATGGATTTTTTAAAGAATATTTTTTCCAAAGTCCAACAAAGGCATGGATTTTTAAAGAATATTTTTTCCAAAGTCCAACAAAGGCATGGATTATTTAAAGAATATTTTTTTCAAGGTCCAAAAAGGCGTGGATTTTTTAAAGAATATTTTTTCCAAAGCCCAACAAAGGCGTGGATTTTTTAAAGAATAATTTTTTCAAGGACCACCAAAGGCATGGATTTTTTAAAGAATATTTTTTCCAAAAACCAACAAAGGCGTGGATTTTTTAAAGAATATTTTTTCCAAAAACCGACAAAGGCGTGGATTTTTTAAAGAATATTTTTTTCAAGGACCACCAAAGGCGTGGATTTTTTAAAGAATATTTTATTC